TGGTTAGGGGTTAGGGGTTAGCTGTTAGGTGTTAGGGGTACAGGTTATGGGATAATGGTTAGGGCTTAGGGTATGGGTTAGGGTTTGCGGTTAGGGGTTAGGTGTATCACCTTCCATCACCTCCGGAATGTCGCCAGACTACGGCACTAGCTCAGCCCTCACGCGGCTGAAACTCTGGTCCAGGCCTTTATCACCTCAATGCCGGACTATGGGACCTCACTCCTCGCGGCCTTCACGGCCCTCCCTCCGCAGGTCATTCAGAACTCTGCAGCTCGTGTACTGTCCCGCACCACATCACTCCCACCCTCACCCTCGCCCTCGCTCACCTCCACTGCTCCCCATCCCCCAGAGAATCGAATTCAAGATCCTCATCCTCACCTACAAGGCCATTCACGGCCTTGCTCCCTCCTACCTCTCCGACCTATTATCCCCCTCCCTACCCGTCCGTACCCTCCGTTCCTCTGCCTCGTGTCTGCTCCATATCCCCCGCCCCAACCGCCCTACTATCGGTGGCCTTCAGCCTCTCAGCCCTGAGGCTCTGGAACTCTTTCCCCAGTGCCTTCGCCAACTCCTCCCTTTCCACATTCAAAGCCGGTCTCAAGACCTTTCTCTTCGACCTTGCCTTCAGCTCCCCTCTCGACTCTCTACCCCCTTCTCGCTCCCTCCCTTCCCTCCCCTCACCCTGACCATGTCCCCCCTCCTCGCTCCCTCCCTTCCCTCCGCTCAGCCTGACCATGTCCCCCCTGCTCGTGTCCTGACCCAACTGACGTCCTCCCGACGTGAAAGGCGATCAGTAAATGGAATCTTGTTGTTGTTGTTGTTGTAGGGGTAGGGTTAGCGTTAGGCTCAGGGTTTGGTATTAGGCGTAATGGTTAGGGTTAGGGTTTCGGTTTAGGGTTAGGGTTTTGGTTTAGGGTTTAAAGCTCGGGTTTAGTGTTGATGGTTAGGGTTAGGGATTAGGTTTAGAAGTTTAGAGGTTAGGGGTTATGGTTAGCGGTTAAGGGTAGGGGTAGGGGTTACGGGTGAAGGTTAGGCTTAGGTTTAGAGGTTAGGCGTTAGGGTTAATGTTTAGTGTTAGCGTTAGGTGTTAGTTGTTAGGGTTAGTGGTTAGGTTTAGAGGTTAGGTTTAGGGTTAGGGGTTCGGGTTAGGGTTAGGGTTAGTATCGAATTGGCTCAGGTTCATGAATGTTTGGTGTTATCTGTTGTCGTTTAATTTGTCGCTATTTGTCTGTCTGATTGACAGCTTTAGGACCACGTGTTCCTGTGGTCTTCTTTGTTTCTCTGCAGTTTGAGTCAGTGTCTGAATACTGTGCATCTGAGGCAGTGCTCAATGTTAATGGCCTTTGATCCGAAGTCAGACTGTTGGCCGAACGCAGTCCGTCCGCTCTTTTAAAAAAGCCATTTTAATAGAGTTTGAGGAGGAAACTCTGATTTTTTTAATATTGTTGTTTGCCCAACACCGGCCCCACCCTTAATTAGTCCAAATCAGCTTTAGGTAAATGGGCGGTGCTCCGGGCTGTGGGCGGGGCTGTGGGCGGGGCTTGGGTCAGTGGGCGGGGCTCGGGGCTGTGGGCGGGGCTCGGGGCTATGGGCGTGGCTCGGGACAGTGGGCGGGGCTCGGGACAGTGGGCGGGGCTCCAGCTTTGGGCGGGGCTGTGGCGAGAGAGTGACCGGCGGAGACTTGACCACACGCCGTCCCCTCGGCCCTCAGCGCCGCTCTCGGCTCCGGTTACCGGGATTCCCGCCCGTCACCTCCGGAGTCCCCGCGTCATCACATGACGTCACTGCCCGGCTCCCCCGCCTTCACCAAGATGGCGGCCACACGACTGCTTGCGTCATCACATGACGTCACTGCCCGGCTCCCCCCCTTTACCAAGATGGCGGCCAATCGACTGCTCTCCGCATCACATGACGTCACTGCCCGGCTCCCCCGCCTTTACCAAGATGGCCGCCAATGTCCTTTACTGTCTCTCTCTCACACTCACTCTCTCTGTCTGTCCACAGCGGAGAAAGAGAGAGAGAGAGGGACAGAGAGAGAGGGACAGAGAGAGAGAGAGAAGGACAGAGTTTTCCGACACAAACCAATAAACTATTTATTTCTTCCCTTCGCGGAGGATCGCGACTCGGAGCTCCTCCTCAGTGTCAGTGATCACTGACGGATCCCTTTCCGTTCCCGTTCGGCGTTTGTGTCGGTGAAGGGTTTCCCACCGAATCCCCCGACATTACCGGTGCGGCTCCGGCCCCGGGTCCGGTCATCGCCGTCTAATGCCGGAGAGCGGTCGGACCCCGACGGCCGTTCACCGCTTCTCCGTCTCTCCGGCGGCCGTCGTGGGTTTGAGGGGAATAACCGTTTGCTGTGATTTGCTCTGTGGGGTCCTGTGGCTCAGGGGTGAGAGCACTCGCTGTGCAGCGAAAGACCCGGGTTCAATCCCCGGGGGGTCAGGGCCGGACCTCGGGCGAGTTTCCTGACCCCACACACGGCCCTAATAACGATCCTCTCCGCAACAAAAACAATCGCCAATGGGGTCACTTTCAACCCACGACCGCGTGTGGGACCGACGCCGCTGCGCGCAATCGGCCGCCGCGTTCGCCCTCAAATGCACAGTCACTACACTCTGCAGTCTGTGCCATGAAGCGCTTCGGGGGACGTCGAGAAGACGTGAAAAGCGCTGTATCAAATGCAATGATTATTATTATTATTATTATTATTAATCCGGGTTCAAATCACACAGAAACACCTGAGTACCACTGTACTGCCCCCAGAGGCGGCGCTGCACTACTGCACCCACAATGTACTCAGTAATAATAATAGTAATAGTGATAATAATAATAATAATTTGGCGGTTGGTATTGCCGCCCCCGTTACTGATATTATTATTGTAGTGTTATTATTGTTGGCGTAATGTGTAGTGACTGTATATTTCTGTGTAAAGTGTAGTGACTGCGTTTCACTCTAAATTGTAGTGACTGTGTGATTAGGTGAAAAGTGTAGTGACTGTTTGTTTGAGTGTAATGTGTATTGACTGTGTGATTCAGCGTAAAGTGCAGTGACTGTGTGTTTCAGTGTAATGCGTAGTGACTGTGTGTTTGAATGTAAAGTGTAGTGACTGTGTTTCAGTGTAAATTGTAGTGACTGTGTGCTAATGTAAAGTGTAGTGACTGTGTGTTGCCAATGCCCTTCACTGACAGAGAGACACTCACTACTTTATTGTCTGTGTCTCACACACACTCTGTGTGTCTACAATGGAGAGAGTGTGAGTGAGAGTGAGAGTGTGAGAGTGAGAGTGTGAGAGTGAGAGTGAGAGTGTGAGAGTGTGAGAGAGTGAGAGTGATAGTGTAAGAGAGAGTGTGTGAATATTAGAGTGTGAGAGTGAGTGAGTGAGAGAGAGAGTGTGTGAGAGTGAAAGACAGACAGACAGAAAGAGAGAGAGAGAGGGAGAGTGTGAGAGAGAGAGAGTGAGAGAGAGACAGACAGAGAGTGTGAGAGAGAGAGAGAGAGAGAGTGTGAGAGTGAGAGAGTGTGAGAGAGAGAGCGACAGACAGTAAGTGTGAGAGAGAGAGAAGGACTGTGAGACAGAGAGAGAGACAGAGAGAGAGAGAGAGAGAGGACCGCGGGAAGGGTTGGGTTCGAGGGCCGAGTGTGAACTGTGTGATATAAACCACAATCTTTATTGTACAGCGACACAGACTATGAAGGCTCAGCCTCGTGGCCATCACCGCCAAACACAGGTCACGGCTGAGGGTTCCCTCCTCATCAATCCGTCACCCGACAGATCCTCAGAGGGGGAGGGTGTGGGGGTGTGTGAGTGGGAGTGTGTGTGAGGGAGTGTGTGGGGGGATGTGTTGTCAATGGAAGGCTATTGACACGGCTTCAGGGTGAGAATGGGAGACGTGTACCTGGACTGACGCTGTCTATAATCTCTCTCCAGAGGGTGTTGTCCAAAGGCCACTGGTACTTGGCCACCGGCAGCTCAGCCTCACACACTGACAGATCAAACCCCTCGTCACTGACCCTGAAACAAGACCCCATCACATTATAGAGTGAAACTGCACCTTGTGGGTGGTTTGTGGGTTCAATTCTGGGATATTTGGTAAAGGTCATTCCATACCTTCTGTTGGCAGCAGATTCCTCCTAATGAAATCAAACACAGACAGATGTCAGTTCACACTGAGACACCAACAACAGCAACAGATTACATGTGTACAGCGTCTCCCACATCCCAATTCAATCTCTGATCCCTTTGTCAATCACAATTAGTTTGTCGGCTCCCGACTGTGTGTAACTGTGACTGAACTGCATTATAATGTCATCTCTTTACCTGCAGGAAGGTGAGAGCGTCTTTCCCCATCTGTGTCTGTAACTCGGAGAGTTCTTGCTCCACCGACTCTAACTTTCCCTGAATCTCTCGCAGAGTTGTCTCCATTCGCTTTAGAATCTCCTCCTCTCGCTGTCTGAGATCCCCCATCACTCGCTGCTCTCTGTCAGTCAGACTCTGGTGCATTTTAGCAAACTCAGCCGTGACGTGAGTCTGTACACTCTTCACCTGTTCCTGAAAATATCAGGACATCCATCCATTACACACAGTAACCAGAGACCTGAGACATCCCACCGTGTACACACAGTAACCAGAGACACTGAGACATCCCATCGTATACACACAGTAACCAGAGACCTGAGACATCCCACCGTGTACACACAGTAACCAGAGACCTGAGACATCACACCGTGTACACACAGTAACCAGAGACACACTGACAGATATCAGCCCCGACACAACTTACCTTAACTTGTGACATCTTTTCTCTCTGTTTGGCTTCAGTTTGTAGAGCAGTTTCCTTCCTCTGTGTGAGAGAAGCTATGGAGGACTTCACTTGATCCTGGAATAAACGCACAGAATAACAGTGTTTGAGGGGAAAACCTGACGTGCAAACGGAATGAATCCCTCGTGAGGGTCTCGGTACCTTGTAGATTTCAGCAGCTTCGTCAATGGGCAGAAAGCTGTGACCTCTGTGCTCTTTCGCATCTCTGCAAGTGTAACAGATCAATTTCTTGTCATCTTCACAGAACAGCTTCAGGTCCTCCCGGTGTTTCTCACACTGAGGTTTAACTGCCGTCTGTGTCGGGTCCAGACTGAATTCACGAGCCTTCTCCACCATTTTGGCCAGAGCCCCATTGACCTGGAGGTTCCTCTCCACAGTAACTTGGCGACATACCGGACAGGAGTTTTTCTCCTGCTTTTCCCAGCTCCCGGCGACACAGGAGCGACAGAAGTTGTGGCCGCAGTCCAGACTAACAGGATCAGTGAAGAACTCCAGACAAATGGCACAGTTTAGCTCCTCGGTCCAGCACTCAGCCTGGAGTCTGGAAGCCATTTTGATACTCAGCAACTGCTGATTGAAACTGGTTTTGGTTTCAGTGGGAGTGTGTGCGCGGCTCCCAGTCACTGGGCGGATAAACCCTCCTCAAGTCTCTTCCTGTGAAACTCGCTGATTGTGTCTGTGGTCCCAACAGAGCAAATCTACACCTTGTGAAACCCGCTGATTGTGAAACCCGCTGAGGGTTCCCTCCTCATCAATCCGTCACCCAAAAGATCCTCAGAGGGTCACCGTTTTTGCCGCCGTCGGGGGGAACCCAATTGACCTTGAGGATCCTCTTTGCAGTACCTTGGCGATATTCCGGACGGGAGGGTTTTCCCTGCTTTTCCCGGCTCCCGGTGATACGGGACCGACAATATTTGTGGCCGCAATCGAGGCAAACAGGAACCTTAGAGAATTCCAGACAAATGACGCAGTTTAGCTTCTCGGTCAGAGCCTGAACCTGATGTCTAGAAGTCCTGGTCACCCGGAGTCTATCTGTTCCAAACTCCTTCAGGCTCCGGGTATTTATGCTGTGTGTTTCCCGCCCTGTGACAGAGTTCACTTCAATCTGATTCACACGGCCTCACGTGGGGATTCAGGATTGTGAGCAACCACCAAGATTTGGACGAAGGAAATGTTTGTTGTGGAAATGGACCAAAGTTCACCAAACAACAGGTCCAATCAGGGTGAGGAGTCAGAGGGAGAGTTTAAGATTACCAGTAAATATGGAACCAGGAACAGACCCTGAGACCAATAATCCCGATCCGTCTCTTGAACATTTGGATATTCCCTATCGGGGAGGGGCCTCCTGGGCATTTACTCTCCTGATTGATATCTTCTGATTAATCAAAACTTTTAGAAGATCTCCTCATTCCCACATCTGCCACAAGTTCACTACCCTTTCATTACCGCCCACCGACCTGTCACAATCTCCCCACTCCACACACAATCTCTCCCCTCAACACACAATTTCGCCTGACACAATCTCCCTCTCCCCACAAACAATCTTTCCCCTCCCACCACACAATCTCCGCTCCCCCCAAACGACACAGCCGCCACCTCCTTCCTTCCGCAACACACTAGGATTCACATTGATTTTTTAATAAAATGATGACTTGTGCTTTACAATCTCAGTTCTAACCTTCAATGGTCTCTTTTCCCTTCACCCCCCCCCCCCCCACACACACACATTATGCACCACCGCCCCCGCCCCCCACTCCCCCCACCACACTCTGTACCTATCTATCTGCTGGGTTCCTGCAACCCTCAACCCCTTCCTTTCTTGTTTAACTCTACATCCTCATTCTCTCCCCACAGTTAATGGAGAACTTTCATCCAATTTTCTCCCAGCTCCTGTTTTCTTGTCTTTAATCCCTTCACTTTCCTCCCTCCCTCTATACTGTCACAGTCAAATTGTCTTTGAATGTGCCTTTGCCCACTGAGGGTGGGAGGTTAGTGGGTTTTGTTTGGAGCTGAACTGGCCCCAAGGTGACATGTTTGGCATAAAACAGACTGCTCCACAGAAAATGTTCTCCTATTGCTGATACACAATAAATCACGACGAGCTGAGAAACGTTGACACAGCAGTGATATACCAGACCACACCTTGTTTCCTGTAAGTCATTAAACAGCTTGTAAATATGTTGCAAGACTGAAAAGGACCAGATCTAATCAAATAATTTTTTATTTGTTTTGCACTCATTACCTGGTTAACAAAGGAAATCTTTGACCAACATTCAAGAATATTGCCACCAGCTAAACGATGCCATATAAAACTAATAGCGTGTACAGTTTGATCACTCTTGTGATCAGAACCGATGGCCCAGATTCCATGTATACACCAATAAGACAAATATATCTATTGTCACATCCCACTTTGATTTTCCAATGCCTTTTGTGCCATCCTCCTGAGCTCCAGCATCACATCTAAATGATTCAGAGCACTCTACCCACGTACTCACACCAATCTTGTTTCACACACCCATCACTCCAGCCATTCCCTGATCTGTACCTGATCTGGAGATCGGTGATGGAATTCAGGAATCGAGCCAGACCTCTGGGATCGTCTCCAGTACGGTTCCTGCGCCAGGTTGGTCCACAGTGTCCCAGGGCACTGCTGATGTCAACACAGCCCAGGCTGTCTCATCGACAGGACCCGGGAGGGCTGAAAAGTATATGGAGGCAATGATTTCTCCCATTCAGCAACTGTTATCCCTGGAGGCAAAGCCGTCACGAGCTGATAGGTTGGTCTTGGTTGGACACGCAGCGGGAAAGCTTCTCAGACGTAAATTATAATTCAAAAACCGATTACATTTGTACAACTACCTTCACACAGGTAGCACCTATGATTTGAACTGGATACTTTGCTATATTCCCATATGTTACCCCAAATCATACTCAAGGTTCCCCTAAGCCAAGGCTCTCGCCAAAAAACGATATGGGTGCTGTGTGGGTGCATGTCTGCAGATCGAGAGAGAGAGAAAGAGATTGACTATTATCGTTTACATGGGAAGATTATAGATAATTATTTTTACTATTTGTATATGAAAATCAGTTTGTGTAAATGTATCAAGTGTTGTTCTGATGTCTCTTGGTTTCCGATTCAATCTTGATCGTATGGAGCAAGTCAACAAGAAAAAGTTGCCTTTACACAGCGCCCTTTATGCGGGGTAGTAAACCAGAGCTCTTGACAGTGGTGGAGTCTGACTCTTAGCCTGGAGGACAGGGAGTGGGGTTGTGACCATAAACATAATCAAACATGGAATTTCTGGGCGGGATTTAAAGGTGGGGAAAGAGGGAGCAAGTTAAAGCCATTGGGGAAGATACGTTCGGAATTGGGTGTCTTAGTGGATGAAAGCAAAACCACTGATGGTGATCGGATAGTACAAGAGACAAACAGGAGGTTGGAGCCATCTGGCCATAGTCATTGAGTGGTGGAGTGGGGTCTCAGCGGGCAGGAGTGGTTGGGAGGTGCGATGGCATGAACTGATTTCAAAATGAGTGAGAGGGTATCGAAATCAACTGAACCCCTTTCGTTTCCCGCTTCAGACCCCCGTCAAACTGTCATACCATCCCCTGCTCTGAAACAGCAAATTACATTGACCTGGGCCTTTCATGTCAGGAGGACGTTCCAAGGCACTGGACAGTCAGGGATTTGGATACGAGCTGGAGGTGGGATCAGGAGGGATGGAAGGCTGTGATGGTAGGGATAAGAAGTTGGCCAAAGGCATGTTTGGTCAAAGAGGAGGGTCTTGAGACTGGTCTTGCAGGAGGTGAGGAAAGTAGTGATGTGAAGTGACTGTGGGATAGAGTTACAGATGGTGGGGGTAGAGAAGATCAAGTCTCAATGGTCGATGGTAAGGTGGACCGGGTGGTGGACGTGGAGAATGTCAACTTGCTCCCGGCTCCTATATCCTTATCTTGAATCCCTTCACTTTCCTCCCTCCATCTCGACTGTCACAAGCAATTGTCTTTGAATGTGCCTTTGCCCACTGAGTGTGGGAGGTAAGTGGGTTCTTCTTGGAGCTGACCTAGCCCCAAGGTGACATGCTTGGCATAAACCAGACAGCTCCACAGAGCAGCTTCTCCTATTGCTGATACACAATAAATCAAGAGGAGCTGAGAAACACTGACACAACAGGTGATATATAAGACCGCACCATGTTTCCAGTAAGTCATTAAACAGCTCGTAAAAGTGTTTCAAGTTCGAAAAGAACCAGTTTTACTGAAATAATTATTAACTTGTATTGCTCTCCCTTCCTTGTTATCAAAGAAACCTTTGACCAACACTCAAGAATATTGTCAAAAGATGAAACATACATTGCAAGATCTCTCCTGACGGCTGTTGTGTAGTTGAGGTGTATAAATATTTACTGTATGTTAACGTGTGTTCCAATAAAGGAATATTAAAGTGCTGTAGCACTTTGTTGTTCTGTGTAACATCCCAGAATTGTCTTAGTAAAATCCTTCTACTCCTTGAGGGCAGGTTAACAGGGTCTCAGTGGACTTGACTTGCAGCTTGTCAAAGCGTGTGGGAATGGAGCCTCTGTGACGGTCTCTCGTCCCCGGTTCCTGAGCCCGGAGGGATCACAGTATCCTGGGGCACTCACTGCTGATAGCGGCACAGCTCGGCCCGGCTCATCGGCAGGACCTGAGAGTGTCGATCAGTCACCGGAGGCGCACAGACAGACAGAGAGAGAGACACAGACGGGCAGAGAGACAGAGAGACACACACGGGCAGACACCACAGACAGCACTGCAGAGACAAACACAGTCAGAGAGACACACACAGGTACAGACGTACAGAGAGACACAGAGAGAGAGAGACATACACAGGCAGAGAGAGACACGCACGGGCACACACACACAGGTCCAGACCCACAGAGAGACACAAAAACAGGTACAGACACAAAGGGACACACACACACACAGGTACAGATACACAAAGAGACAAAAACATAGACACAGACACACAGAGAGACACATACACAGGTACAGACACAAAGAGAGACACAGCTACAGCTACTGACACACAGAGAGACACAGACACATGTACAAACACACAGATACAGGTACTGACACACAGAGAGACAGACATATGTACAGACACACAGATAGAGGTACGGACACATACAGAGACACAGACACAGGAACAGACACACAGAGAGACAAAAAAACAGGTATAGACACATAGAGAGACACATACACAGGTACAGACACACAGAGAGACACAAACACAGACAGAGCTACAGAGACACACACAGACAGAGAGACACAGGTACAGACAGACAGAGAGACAGAGACCCAGACACACACAGAGCTACAGAGACACACACAGACAGAGAGACACAGTCACAGGGTGACACGGGGCTGATTCTCTGACCCTGTGTCCAGGTGATGGTGGGGCTGGACTCCTGGCCTTGGCTCTCTCCGAGCTGCTGATCTGCTGGTTCAACCCCAAAGCCAGTCACTACACCTGCTGCTTGTCTCTCTGTCTCACCCCTCAGCCCCTCCCCACACACTGCCACCCCACACACACCCCCAACCGACTCCCACACTCCAGCCCACACCCCCTCTACACTCTCCTGTACCCCCATTTCTCTGGCCCCAACCCACCCTGTACTGTACCCCCCACCTCCTCTTCTCCCAAACCTCCCCGCTCTGATCTACACCTCGACCCCTACCCCCCCACTCGGCAGCCACACCCCCTCTACATTTACCCCCCCCAACCCCTCTAATCTATTCCCCCACCCCTTTCTACTCTCCATCCCCAATCTGCACCCCACTCTGCCCCCGCACCCAACTCTACTCTCCCTCCCCACACTACACACCACTGTGCCCCCGCACCCCCTCTACTCTCCCTCCTCACACTACACCCCACTCTGCCACCGCACCCCCCTCTACTCTCCCTCCCCACACTACACCCCACTCTGCCCCTCCCCCCTTCTACCCTCCCTCGCCACTCTACACCCCACTCTAACCCCCGCACCCACTCTATTCTCACTCCCCACTCTACATCCCACTCTGCCCACCCACCGCATTCTGCACTCCCTCCCCAAACTATAGCATACTCTGCCCCCGCACCACCAGCTACTCTCACTCCCCACTCTACATCCCACACTGTCCCGCACCCCCCTCTAATCTCCCTCCCCACTCTACACCCCACTCTGACCCCCGCATCCCCCTCTACTCTCCCTCCCCACTCGACACTCCAATCTGCCCCCACACTTAATGTAAGGGTTGGGGTTAGAGTTAGCGGATAGGGGTTCGGGTTTAGAGATTAGGGGTTAGGGTTAGTATCGAGTTTGGCTCAGGTTCATGAATGTTTTATGTTATCTGTTGTCGTTTAATTTGTCGCTATGTGTCTGTCTGATTAACAGCTTTAGGACCACGTGATCCTGTGGTCTTCTTTGTTTCTCTGCAGTTTGAGTCAGTGTCTGAATACTGTGTATCTGAGGCAGTGCTCAATGTTAATGGCCTTTAACAAAGACTCAAAGTCTTTGATCCGAAGTCAGACTGTTGGCCGAACGCCGTCCGTCCGCTCTTTTAAAAAAGCCATTTTAATAGTGTTTGAGGAGGAAACTCTGATTTATTTTATATTGTTGTTTGCCCAACACCGGCCCCACCCTTAATTAGTCCAAATCAGCTTCAGGTAAATGGGCGGGGCTCCGGGCTGTGGGCGGGGCTGTGGGCTGTGGGCGGGGCTTGGAACAGTGGGCGGGGCTCGGGGCAGAGCGCTGTGGCGAGAGAGTGACTGCTCTCGGCTACCGTTACCGGGATTCCCGCCCGTCACCTCCGGAACCCCCGCGGCATCACATGCCGTCACTGCCCGGCTCCCCCGCCTTTACAAAGATGGCCGCCAATGTCCTTTACTGTCTCTGTCTCACACTCACTCTCTCTGTCTTTCCACAGCGGAGAAAGAGAGAGAGAGAGGGACAGAGAGAGAGAGTGAAAGAGGGACAGAGAGAGTGATAGAGGGACTGAGAGAGACAGAGAGAGAGAAAGAGAGAGTGAGAGAGGGATAGAGAGAGAGAGAGGGAGAAGGGACAGAGATCCCGAATCCCGAGGCCTTGACCCCCGGTGACCGGCGGAGACTTGACCACATGCCGCCCACTCGGCCCTCAGCGCTCACCCGCCTTCACCAAGATGGCGGCCACCGACTGCTCGCGTCATCACATGACGTCAATGAACGGCTCCCCCGCCTTTACCAAGATGGCGGCCACCCGACTGCTCGCTTCATCACATGACGTCACTGCCCGGCTCCCCCGCCTTTACCAAGATGGCCGTCACCACCTGACCCCCCCGCCTCCTTTACCAAGATGGCCGCCAATGTCCTTCAGAAAGGCATAGAGACACTCCTTTACCGTCTCTCTCTCACACTCACTCTCTCTGTCTACAGCGGAAAAAGAGTGGGAGAGAGTGAGAGAGAGAGTGAGAGGGACAGAGAGAGAAAGAGAGGGACACAGAGAGAGAGAGGGACAGAGAGAGAATGTCAGAGGGACAGAGAGAGAGAGAGAGTGACAGAGAGATGGTGAGAGGGACAGAGACACAAACCAATAAACTATTTATTTCGTCCCTTCGCGGAGGATCGCGACTCGGAGCTCCTCCTCAGTGTCGGTGATCACTGACGGATCCCTTTCCGTTCCCGTTCGGCGTTTGTGTCGGTGAAGCGTTTCCCACCGAATCCCCCGACATTACCGGTGCGGCTCCGGCCCCGGGTCCGGTCATCGCCGTCTAATGCCGGAGAGCGGTCGGACCCCGACGGCCGTTCACCGCTTCTCCGTCTCTCCGGCGGCCGTCGTGGGTTTGAGGGGAATCACCGTTTGCTGTGATTTGCTCTGTGGGGTCCTGTGGCTCAGGGGTGAGAGCACTCGCTGTGCAGCGAGAGACCCGGGTTCAATCCCGGGGGGTCAGGGCCGGACCTCGGGCGAGTTTCCTGACCCCACACACGGCCCTAATAACGATCCTCTCCGCAACAAAAACAATCGCAAATGGGGTCACTTTCAACCCACGACCGCGTGTGGGACCGACGCCGCTGCGCGCAATCGGCCGCCGCGTTCGCCCACAAATACACAGTCACTACACTCTGCGGTCTGTGCCGTGAAGCGCTTCGGGGGACGTCGAGAAGACGTGAAAAGCGCTGTATCAAATGCAATGATTATTATTATTATTATTATTATTATTATTAATCCGTGTTCAAATCACAGAGAAACACCTGAGTACCACTGTACTGCCCCCAGAGGCGGCGCTGCACTACTGCATCCACAATGTCCTCAGTATTGTAACGGCCCACAACGTCCTCAGTAATAACAATGCAAAACCGTAACGATATCATTGATATTAACCAAAACTTTCAGTGTGAACTGTGTGGTATAAACCACAATCTTTATTGTACAGCGACACAGACTATGAAGGTTCAGCCTCGTGGCCATCACCGCCAAACACAGGTCACGGCTGAGGGTTCCCTCCTCATCAATCCGTCACCCGACAGATCCTCAGAGGGTCACCGTTTTTGCCGCCGTCGGTCAAACAGGGACTGAAGAGAGGATAAAGCTTCTCAGTGAAAGTGTGGGTGAAAGTGTGGAGATGAGACATGTTGTCGGCGTTGTAAAAGGTCACCTCTCCCCCCTCATAGTCCAGGAACACTCCCACCTTCCCGGGTCTGTCCCTCAGGGACAGGAGAGTGGAGGGAGAGGTCAGAGCTCTATATTCATCCCCGTTTCTCAGCCGCAAAACCCAGAATCCATCCTCTGGTGACCATGTGATCTCTCCTTTCCTGTTGACGGACTCTCGGGCCAATCCCACTGCCCACTCTGTCTTGTTGCCCACCTGCACCTCCCAGTAATGTCTCCCCGATGTGAAGCCCTCAGACCCCAGGACTATGAGATATGTACTAAACCTCTTGGGACCGTCCGGGAGCCGCTGCCGTGTGTCTCCGGTCCTCACGCTGGTCAGGTCCTCAGATAGGATGAGGTACGGGTTCGCTGTGTCGGGATCCAGAGTCAGAGAGACCGGAGCTGAGAGAGAGACACAACAGAACGTGGAGTGAGGGGTCGTCTGGAGCTCAGACGGTGTGTGAACACATCTACACCCGGAGACACCATCCAGCCCCGAGGGTCACCGTCTGTGTGAGGGAGCGTGTGAGGGGGTGTGTGAGGCGCAGGGTGTGAGGGGGAGGGGGGGTGAGTGTGTGTGAGGGTGTGTGAGGGTGTGTGGGAGGGGGAGGGTGTGGGGGGGTGTGAGTGTGTGTATCTGAAGGCATCTGTGAGGGTGTTTGTGTGAGTGGGTGTGTGAGGGTGTGTGTGTAAGGGTCTGTCTGAGTGTATGTATCAGGGTGTGTGTGTGTGAGGGGGGGTGTGAGGGTCTGTGTGAGGGTATGTGTGTGAGGTTGTGTCTGTGAGGGCATGAGTGTGAGGGTGTTTGTGAGGGGGTGTGTCAGTGGGTGTGTGAGGGTGTGTGAGAGGGTGTGTGTATGAGGTTGTGTGTGAGGGGTATGTGAGGGTCTGCGTGATGGTCTCTTCGATGGTATGTGTGAGGGGCTATGAGAGGGTTTGTGCGTGAGGGTGTTTGAGGGGTTTTATAAGGGTATGTGTAAGGGTATGTGGGGGTGGGGCGGTGTGTGTGTGAGTGTGTGTGTGTGAGGGTGTGTGTGAGGGTATGACTGAGGGTGTGTGTATGATGTTGTGTATGAGAGGTATTTGAGGGTCTGTGTAATGATTTGTTTGAGGGGGTGTGTGAGGGGCTGTGAGAGGGTGTATGCATGAGGGGGTGGGGTGAGGGGTTGTATGAGGGTTTGCGTCAGGGTGTGTGTGTGAGAGGGTGTGTGTGAGAGGTTGCGAGTGGGGTTGTATGATGGTATGTGTGATGGTGTGTGAGGGTGTGTGTGTGTGTGGGTGATGGTGAGGGGATATCTGTGAGTATGTGTGTGAGTGTGTGTGTGAGTGTGTGTGTGAGGGTATGTATGTGAGGGGGTGTTTGTGTGTGTGTGTCTGAGGGTGTGTGTGTGATGGTATGTGAGGGTGTGTGTGACGTGTCTGTGTGAGGGGGTATGTGAGGGTGTGTATGTGTGAGGATGTGTGTGAGTGTGTGTGGGGGGGTTGTGTGAGGGTGTGTGTGAGTGTATGTGTGAGTCTCTGTGCGAGTGTGTGTGTGAGGGTGTGTGTGAGGGGGGTGTTAGGGTATTTGTGAGGGTCTGTGTGTGGGTGTGTATGAGGGTATGTGTGAGTGGGTGTGTGAGGTGGTGTTTGTGAGAGTGCGTGTGATGGTCTATGTGAGGGTGTGTGAGGGTTTGTGTGAGTGGGTTTATGAGGGTGTGTGAGGGTCTGTGTGTAGGTGTGTGTGAGTGTTTATGTGTGATGGTGAGGGGCTATGTGTGTGTGTGTCTCTGTGTGAGGGTGTGTGTGCGTGTGTGTGTGTGCGGTTGTGTGTGATGGTGAGGGGTTAAGTGTGAGGGTGTGTGTGTGGGTGTGTGTGAGGGGGTATGTGAGGGTGTGTGAGGGTCTGTGTGGGTGAGGGTGACGGGTATTTGAGGGTGTGTGTGAGTGAGTGTGAGGGGGTGTGAGCTAGTGTGAGGGTGTGTGTGAGGGTGTGTGTGAGTGGGTGTGTGATGGTGTGTGTGAGGGTGTGTGTGATGTGTGTGAGGGTGTGTGAGAGTCTCTGTGTGAGGGTGTGTGTGAGGGTGTGTGTGTGGGTGTGTGCGTGTGTGTGTAGCTGTGTGAGGGGGTGTGGGTGGGGGTGTGTGAGGAAGTGTGTGTGAGGGCTATGTGAGGGTCTGCGTGATGGTCTGTTTGAGGGGATGTGTGAGGGGTTATGAGAGGGTTTATGCGTGAGGGTGTGTGAGGGGGTTTGTGAGGGTTTTTGAGGGTGTGAGGGGAGGTTGGGGGCGGTGTGTGTGTGTGAGGATGTGTGAGCCTGTGTATGTGAGGGGGTTTATGAGGGTGTGTGAGAGGGTATGTGTGTGTGTGAGGGTTTGTGTGAGTGGGTGTGTGTGGGTGTGTGTGAGGGGGTGTGTGTGGGTGGGTGTGACGGGGTGTGTGAGGGTGTGTGTGAGGGTGTGTGTGTGGTGTGTGAGGGTGTGTGTGAGGGGGTGTGTGAGGGTGTGTGTGAGGGTGTGTTTGCGGCTGTATGTGAGGTTGTGTGAAGGTGTGTGTGAGGGGGTTTATGAGTGTGTGAGGGGGTGTGTGAGGGTGTGTGTGGGGGTGTGTGAGGGTGTTTATGAGCGTCTGTCTGTGGGTGTGTGTGAGGGTGTGTGTGAGGGTGTGTGTGAGGGTGTGTGTGAGGGGTATGTGAGGGTCTGCGTGATGGTCTGTTTGAGGGGGTACGTGAGGGGCTATGGGAGGGTTTGTGCATGAGGGTGTGTGAGGGGTTTTATGAGGGTGTGTGAAGGTGTGTGGTGGGGGTGGAGTCGGTGTGTATCTGAGTGTGTGTGTGAGGCTGTGTGTGAGGTTATGTCTGAGGTTGTGTGTATGATGTTGTGTGTGAGGGGTATTTGAGGGTCTGTGTAATGATTTGTTTGAGGGGGTGTGTGAGGGGGTGTGAGAGGGTGTATGCATGAGGGGGGGTGTGAGGGGTTGTATGAGGGTTTGCGTCAGGGTGTGTGTGAGGGTGTGTGTGAGAGAGGGTGTGAATGGGGTTGTATGAAGTTTTGTGTGAGGGTGTTTGTGTGACTGGGTGTGTGAGGGTGTGTCTGTGAGTGGGTGTGTGAGGGGTATGTGAGGCTCTGCCTGATGGTCTGTTTGAGGGGGTGTGCGCGGGTGTGTGAGGGGTTTTATGAGGGTCTGTGTGAGGGTGTGTGGTGCGGGGGGGGGCGGTATGTGTCTGAGTGTGTGTGTGAGAGGGTGTGTGTGAGGGTATGTCTGAGGGTGTGTATGGGGGGTATTTGAGGATCTGTGTCATGATTTGTTTGAGGGGGTGTGTGAGGGGGTGCGAGAGGGTGAATGCATGAGGGAGGGGTGAGGGGTTGTATGAGGGTTTGCGTCCGGGTGTGTGTGAGGGTGTGTGTGTGAGAGGGTGTGAGTGGGGTTGTATGAAGTTATGTGTGAAGGTGTGTGAGGGTGTGTGTGTGTGGTGTGTGTGTGTGATGGTGAGGGGTTATGTGTGAGTATGTGTGTGAGGGTGTGTGTGAGAGTGTGTGAGGGTGTTTGGGAGGGTATGTATGTGAGGGGGTGTATGAGTGTGTGTGTCTGAGGGTGTGTGTGTGATGGTATGTGAGGGTGTGTGAGGGTGTGTGTGATGTGTCTGTGTGAGGGGCTCTGTGAGGGTTTGTGTGAGGGTGTGTGTGAGGGTATGTGTGAGGGGGGTGTTTGTGAGAGTGTGTGTGTGTGATGGTCTGTGTGAGGGTGTGTGTGAGGATGTGCGTGAGTGTGTATGTGAGGTTGTGTGTGAGGGTGTGTGTGAGGATGCGTGTGAGGTGGTATGTGAGTGTGTGTGTGAGGGTGTTTGTGAGGGGGTGTGTTAGGGTACGTGTGAGGGGGATTTTGTGAGAGTATGTGTGATGGTCTGTGTGAGGGGGTGTGTGAGTGGGTGTGTGAGTGTGTGTGTAATGGGGTTTATGAGTGTGTGTGTGGGTGTGTGTGAGGGTGTGAGGGTGAGTGTGTGTGTGAGGGTGTGTGGGTGGGTGTGTGTGTCAGGGTGTGTGTGAGTGTTTGTGAGTGAGGGTGTGTGTGAGGGTATGTGTGAGTGTTCATGTGTGATGGTGAGGGGGTATGTGTGTGTGTGAGAGACTCTGTGTGAGGGTGTGTGTATGGGTGTGTGTGAGGGGATGTGTGAGGGGGTGTGTGTGGGTGCGTGTGAGGGGGTATGTGAGGGTATGTGTGAGGGGGTGTGTGTGAAGTGGTGTGTGAGGTTGTGTGTGAGTGAGGGGATTTGTGAGGGTGTGTGAGGGTGTGTATAAGGGGGTTCATGAGGGTGTGTGTGGGTGTGTGTGAGGGTGTGAGGATGTGTGTGTGGGTTTGTATGTGTGAGGGTGTGTGGGTGGGTGTGAGGGGGTATGTGAGTGTGTGTGAGGTGATGTGTGGGTGTGAGTGACGGTGTATGTGAGGGGGCGTGTGAGTGCGGGTGTGGGTGTGTGGGTGTGTGTGAGGCGGTGTGTGAGGGTGTGTGTGTGGGTGTGTGTGAGAGGATGTGTGAGGGGTGTGTGTGAGGGTTTATGAGTGTGTGAGTGTATGTGTGTGGGTGAGGGGGTGTGTGAGTGTGTGGGTGTGTGTGAGGGGGTGTGTGAGGGTTTATGTGTGGGTGCGTGTGAGGGAGTTTGTGAGCGTGTGTGTGAGGGTGTGTGTGGGGGGGTGTATGTGAGGTGTTATGTGAGGGTGTGTGTGAGCGGGTGTGTTAGGGTATGTGTGAGGGGTTCTTTGTGATGGTGTGAGGGTGTGTGTGTGTGTGAGGGTGTGAGGGTGTGTGTGAGTGTTTGTGAGTGAGGGTTTGTGTGAGGGTGTGTGTGAGGGTATGTGTGAGTGTTTATGTGTGATGGTGAGGGGCTATGTGTGTGTGTGTGTGTGTCTCTGTGTGAGGGTGTGTGTGAGGTGGTGTGTGAGGGTGTGTGTGAGGAAGTGTGAGAGAGGGTATGTGAGGGTGTGTGTGGGTTTGTTTGAGGGGTTATGTGAGGGTGTGTGTGAGCTGGTGTGAGGGTGTGAGGGTGTGTGTGGGTGTATGTGTGTGAGGGTGTCTGGGTGGGTGTGAAGGGGTCTGTGAGGGTGTGTGTGAGGGGATGTGTGGCTGTGAGTAAGGGGGTGTGTGAGGTGGGGTGTAAGTGAGGGTGTGTCTGTGTGGGTGTGTGTGAGGCGGTGTGTGAGGGTGTGTGTGTGAGTGTGTGGTAGGGGCATGTGTGAGGGGGGTGTGTGAGGGTTTATGAGTGTGTGAGGGTATGTGTGTGGGTGTGTGTGCGGGGGTGTGTGAGTGTGTGGGTGTGTGTGAGGGGGTGTGTGAGGGGGTATGTGAGGGTATGTGTGAAGGTGTGTGTGGGGTTGTGTATGTGAAGGTGTGTGTGAGGATGTGTGTGAAGTGGTATGTGAGGCTGGGTGTGAGGGGTGTGTTAGGGTGTGTGTGAGGGGTTGTTAGCGAGGGTGTGAGGGTGTGTGGGTGGGTGTGTGTGATGGTATGTGTGAGTGCTTGTGAGTGAGGGTGTGTGAGGGTTTGTGTGAGGGTATGTGTGAGTGTTTATGTGTGATGATGAGGGGCTATGTGTGTGTGTGTGTGAGTCTCTGTGTGAGGGTGTGTGTGAGGTGGTGTGAGGGTGTGAGGGTGTGTGGGTGGGTGTGAGAGGGTGTATGAGGGGGGGGGGTGTAAGTGAGGCTGTGTCTGTGTGGGTGTGTGTGAGGCGGTGTGTGAGGGTATGGGTCTGTGTGTGTGGGTGTGTGTGAGGGCATGTGTGAAGGGGGTTTGTGTGAGGGTTTATGAGTGTGTGAGGGTATGTGTGTGGGTGTGTGTGAGGGGGTGTGTGAGTGTGTGTGTATGGGTGTGTGTGAGGGGCTGTGTGAGGGGGTATGTGAGGGTGTGTGTGTGGGTATGTGTGAGAGTGTGTATGAGGGTGTGTGGGGGTGTGTGTGTGAAGGTGTGTGTGAGGTGGTATGTGAGGGTATGTGTGAGGGGGTGTTTGCTAGAGTGTGTGTGATGGTCTGTGTGAGGGGGTGTGTGAGGGGATGTGTGAGTGTGTGTGTAAGGGGGTTTATGAGGGTGTGTGTGGGTGTGTGTGAGGGTTGGAGGGTGTGTGTGTTTGTGTGTGAGGGTGTGTGGGTGGGTCTGTGTGTCAGTGTGTGTGTGAGTGTTTGTGAATGAGTGTGTGTGTGAGTGTTTGTGAGTGAGGGTGTGTGTGAGGGTGTGTGTGAGGCTATGTGTGAGTGTTTATGTGTGATGGTGACGGGGTATGTGTGTGTGAGTCTCTGTGTGAGGGTGTGTGTATGGGTATATGTGAGGTGGTGTGTGAGGGGGTGTGTGAGGAAGTCTGGGAGAGGGTATGTGAGGGTGTGTGGGTGTGTGTGAGAAGGTATGTGAGTTTGTGTGTGAGGGTGTGTGTATGGGTGTGTGTGAGGTGGTGTGTGAGGGGTTGTGTGAGGGGGTGAGGGGGTGTGTGTGTTTGTGAGGTTGTGTGGGTGGGTGTGAGGGGGTCTGTGAGGGTGTGTGTGAGGGGATGTGTGGGTATGAGTGAGGGGGTGTGTGAGGGGGGTGTAAGTGAGGGTGTGCGTGTGGGGGTGTGTGTGAGGCGCTGTGTCAGGGTGTGTGTGTGGGTGTGTGGTAGGATCATGTGTGAGGGGTTGTGTGAGGGTTTATGAGTGTGTGAGGGTATGTGTGTGGGTGTGTGAGGGGGGAGTGTGTGAGTGTGTGTGTGTGGGTGTGTGTGAGTGGGTGTGTGAGGGGTTATGTGAGGGTATGTGTGAGGTGTTGTGTGAGGGTGTGTGTGAGGGTGTGTGTGGTGGTGTGTGTGTGAAGGTGTGTGTGAGGATGTGTGTGAGGTTGTATGTGAGGGTATGTGTGAGTGGTTGTTTGCGAGAGTGTGTGTGATGGTTTGTGAGAGGGTGTGTGTGAGGGGGTGTGTGAGTGTGTGTGTAAGGGGGTTTATGAGGGTGTGTGTGTGTGTGTGCGGGTGTGTGTGAGGGGGTGTGTGAGGGGGTGTGTGAGGCTGTGTGTGAGGGTGTGTGTGAGGGTGTTTGTGAGGGGGTGTGTGAGGGTGTGTGTGAGGGTCTGTGTGAGCGGGTGTGTGAGGGGTGAGGCCATTGACATTATGGCTCACCCCCGGTGACACCTTCCCCCTCACTTAGGCCACACCACCCGCTACACCTCCCACCATGGCCCCCGCTCCAACCGTCATGGTGGTGGGGTGGCCCTCATCTCCAGGGCGTCACTGGCCCTGTCCCCATCCTCCACCGCTCATTCACCTCTTTCCATCAACTCACCCTACGCCATCCCTCCCCTCTCTCTAACATCCTAATTGCCCCCAAAACCCTCCCCCACCTTCATCTGTTACCCCTCCACCCTCCTCGCCTCCCTCTGCCTCTGCTTCGACCCCCTCATCCTCCTCGGCTAATTTAGCCTCGACTGCATCCCCTCCTGCTCCACCTCCTCAGACTTGTGCTCTCGCCTCCTTTGTGAGGGATTGTGTGGTGGTATGTGTTGTCAATGGAAGGCTATTGACACGGCTTCAGGGTGAGAATGGGAGACGTGTACCTGGACTGACGCTGTCTATAATCTCTCTCCAGACGGTGTTGTCCAAAGGCCACTTGTACTTGGCCACCGGCAGCTCTGCCTCACACACTGACAGATCAAACCCCTCGTCACTGACCCTGAAACAAGACCCCATCTCATTATAGAGTGAAACTGCACCTTGTGAGCGGTTTGTGGGTTCAATTCTGCGATATTTGGTAAAGGTCATTCCATACCTTCTGTTGGCAGCAGATTCCTCCTAATGAAATCAAACACAGACAGATGTCAGCTCACACTGAGACACCAACAACAACAACAACAGATTACATGTGTACAGCGTCTACCACATCACAACTCAATCTCTGATCTCTTTGTCAATCACAATTAGTTTGTCGGATCCCGACTGTGTGTAACTGTGACTGAACTGCATTATAATGTCATCTCTTTACCTGTAGGAAGGTGAGAGCGTCTTTCCCCATCTGTGTCTGTAACTCGGAGAGTTCTTGCTCCACCGACTCTAACTTTCCCTGAATCTCTCGCAGAGTTGTCTCCATTCGCTTTAGAATCTCCTCCTCTCGCTGTCTGAGATCCCCCATCACTCGCTGCTCTCTGTCCGTCAGACTCTGGTGCATTTTAGCAAACTTAGCCGTGACGTGAGTCTGCACACTCTTCACCTGTTCCTGAAAATACCAACATCCCACCGTTATACACAGTAATCAGAGACCTGAGACATCACATCGTGTACACACAGTAACAACAGACACTGAGACATCACACCGTGTACACACCATAACCAGAGACACACTGACAGATATCAGCCCCGACACAACTTACCTTAACTTGTGAAATCTTTTCTCTCTGTTTGGCTTCAGTTTGTAGAGCAGTTTCCTTCCTCTGTGTGAGAGAAGCTATGGAGGACTTCACTTGATCCTGGAATAAACGCAGAGAATAACAGTGTTTGAGGGGAAAACCTGACGTGGAAGCGGAATGAATCCCTCGTGAGGGTCTCGGTACCTTGTAGATTTCAGCCGCTTCGTCAATGGGCAGAAAGCTGTGACCTCTGTGCTCTTTCGCATCTCTGCAAACAAGACAGAGCAATTTCTTGTCATCTTCACAGAACAGCTTCAGGTCCTCCCGGTGTTTCTCACACTGACGTTTAACTGCCGTCTGTGTCGGGTCCAGACTGAATTCACGAGCTTTCTCCACCATTTTGGCCAGAGCCACATTGACCTGGAGGTTCCTCTCCACAGTAACTTGGTGACATACCGGACAGGAGTTTTTCTCCTGCTTTTCCCAGCTCCCGGCGACACAGGAGCGACAGAAGTTGTGGCCGCAGTCCAGACTAACAGGATCAGTGAAGAACTCCAGACAAATGGCACAGTTTAGCTCCTCGGTCCAGCACTCAGCCTGGAGTCCCGAAGCCATGTTCAGCCCAAACACTAACCTGTTTGGCTTCTCAGACTATATGTGGACGTGGCAAAGGCTCAGTTGCCTCCCAAACCGGTTCCTCAGGTTTGCGATGACATTATTATTGTATCAGAAAGAATTCCGACTGAAAGCGCAGAGAGGAGAGGCCAACAGCCAGAACCACACATCTGTCCACAGCCCAGTCTCATTGCCAATGGCCTCGCAATCACATAGTCTGAGCTGATCCTCCGATGCACTGCTGGGGCTGGTGCTGTATGGTTCAAAGTGTGGTGCTTCGGATGAGACGTAAAACCAAGGTCCGGTCTGCCTGCTCGGGAGGACTGTAAAAATCTCCTGGCGCTATTCCAAGCGAAGGGAGTGTCTCTATCTCTCTGCGTCTCCTGGAATGATTATCTGTGCCGATGTATGAGCTCTGGGGAAGGGAAGGGCTGTGTTCTGGAGACATAGTTTCTCTCTCGGTTCTGGTTGCCATGACATATATGAGCGACTTGAACAGAGGAGAATGACAAGCGTTAGAGGAACAAACTGAGCGACAATCAGACCAGAGATGTGAGACAAAAAGCAGCTCAGAGGAACATTTTCCAGGTGTTTTTTCGTTTGTTAAACGCATCGAACACGTGAAAAGAGAAGGGTGTCATTGCCCTGAGAGCAGCACAGGAGGCGATTGGGGATGTGAAGGGCAATTTTAGGCCAGACAGCAGAGAGGGTTTTAATCAATGGAACAAATTAACGCGATAGTCATAGTTTTGGGCATAGTGTGACTTTGAGGCATGTGCGAAAAAAGTCTGCTCTCTGCTCTCTCCCTACATTACTACACGCTGCCTCCGCTCGACTGGCTCCAGCCGGCTCCCTGTCGCCCACAAGCTCCACTAAGATGTGAGATGGCTGAGATTATATCAGTCCCGTCGTGCACTGGTTGTAAAGCTCACCTTCGCAAGGAAAGCAAAATGACCCGGGTTCCACTCCCAGCCGGTCAATACCTAAGGCAAGGTTCCTTACCCCACTATATGCCGAGCGCTGAGTACGAACCCCGTTGTCAGTCGCTTGGCGGATCGCTTTATTTTGATAATTATCCATTAAAACAATCCATGATCGCTCAATGCACAACTGTTTGTGGGGACTTACTGCTGAGAGCAATTGGATGTTGTATTTCTTCCACAAAATATATACTCAGCTCACTTCACTGTATATTCTGTGAAGCGCTTTCAGACGTCTTGAAGACGTTATCAAGCGCTGTATTAAATGGATATATTATTAAAGTTAATTGTATTATTATATGCCGGTTACATTTCAATAATGGTAGCTTCATTATAATCCTAAATTTGATACATTGCTGTAGAGCATCAACAAGTCGTCTCAATACGCTTCACAGAATATACAGTAAAGTGTAGTGACTGTATGTCATCTGCGCCAAACAGGGCGATAAGCAAACGTTTTTCAACAATCTTTGAAAGCAAACGTAAGGAACCCAGCGACAGGCTCTTTTGAAACAAATCATAGACAGTTAAAAAGTGATTGCATGATGAAAATCACAGAGCAAACGTCTTGCAGCAATAAGTCGCCTATGAAAAGTGCCGTTAATTTACACTTCAATCTATTGTGTGAAGAGCTTTCCGACGAATTTGAGAAAGGACGAGGCGCTATATCAAATGCAGTAATTATTCCGCTGATGTTGCAGCAGGTTTTATTCTGAATGTCTCTTCCTTTATCCCTTTGCTGCGCAAAACCACAACGGTGACATCAGCGCGAATGCTCACCCGCGTGTGTGCACCAACTGCTCCCAAGTGGGGAGGCGTGTGAGCACTCACACGGACACGCCAGTGGCTACGCATGAACATGTCGTTGGCCACACATTTAATTGCGGAGGTGCGCACATGTACACTCCGGTGGCTACACATGTGTGTGCGAATGCCGATGAGGTTATGAGGGTGAGCTGTGCGTGTGCATGGGGAGACACCAGGGCTGGAGCTTCAGCCTGTCCCACTCCATGGACAACCTTCCCTGTTAGGTAGTTAGTTAGTTAGTTAGTCAGTCAGTCAGTTAGTTATCTAGTTAGCTATCAGGGCTTTGGCTGCTTATGATATGGTGAAGTGGAGTCCTGTAGCTCAGTGGTTAGAGCACTCGCTTTGCAAGCGAGAGACCTGAGTTCAATTCCAGGCAGAGGGCGAAACCTCGGGCAAGTTTCCTTACTCCACACAGAGCCTAATAATAATCCCTCTAAAAAAACAAAACAGTAATAAATTGGTCATTTTCAATCTATGACTGTTTGTGGGACATTACTGTGTGCAATTGGCTGCCGCGTTCGCCCACAAATATACAGTCAATTCACTTTACAGTGTGTTCTGTGAAGCGCTTTGGGACGTCCTCCTGACGTGAAAAGCGCTATATCAAGTGCAAGGATTATTATTATTATTATTCTTAAGGTGTGGCTGAGGGAATGGGAGGCATCTTTGCCTGTAGCAGGCGGCTGGTGGCTGGTGAGTGAGCGAGCGATGGGCAGTTGGGGCTGCTGCTCTGGGACAGGACGGGACTGGGTGGAGGCTGCCAACTCTGGAGCAGAGGGAGGTCACGGTGGGAGTCCACGAGAGAGAGGAGGCGGCGTGGGAGGGAGGGAGTGCGGTGGGCGTGAAGGACAGAAGGGGAGGAGCGGATGGAGGGCGGGCGGGTTGCGGAGGAGGAGGAGCATTTCCACGCAGATGGGGAGCGAGGGATCAATGGGACAGTGTCAGCGCGTGGGCTAAAGAAGCCATCGCGGGGGGTGGGGTAGGGGGGGGAGGGGGATGGCGGTCATGGCTGAATTGCCAGAGAGCGGGAGGGGAGGGAGGACAAGGCAGCAGAAGGATAATGGCGGGGACTTGCGGGTTAGAAACTGGCGCCAGGAAGTCACGTCACTCTCATCACCTGACCCGGGCGGCATTCCAAATTGGCGCCCGGAAGTGACGTCCGACAGCGCGAGACCTGATCTCCATTGAGTGACGTTTAAATGTCGGGGGGGGGGGCGGGGCCTGAAGCCGCTCGTGGTGACCAGGCGGTGACTTCACCACATCTCATCCCGTCTGTGGCGTCCGCGTCCTGTTGTCCCCGACACCCTCGGCCCTCCCTCCGCTGCTCGCGGCTCCCGCTCGGTTTACCCGGGGTGTCCCGACCGTCCCCGCCCGCCGCTCGGCGGCTCGCGGCTCCGCCCCTACGTCAGTCACATGACGTCACTGCCCGGCTCCCGCCGCCTTTACCAAAATGGCGGCCGCCAGATTTCCTACGTCAGGCACACAACGTCACAGTCTGACTCCCGCCGCCTTTACCAAGATGGCGGGCGCCAGGCTCCTGCCGTCACACACATGACGTTACCGACCGGATCTCATCACCGTTAGCAAGACGGCCGTCACCACCTGACTCCCCTCCTCCCCCCCAACCCATTAACAAAGATGGCCGCCAATGCCCTTCAGAAAGGCACAGAGACACTCTCCTTTACTCTCACACTCACTCTGTCTGTCTGACATGGAAACAGAGAGTGTCAGAGAGAGAGAAAGAGAGAGTGACTGATAGAGAAAGGGAGATGTAGTACATCGTGAAAGGTTTGAGCCGTGGGCACAGTGTGAAAGCTGTAATATAAACCACAAGCTTTATTGTATAGCGACACAGATTATAAAAGTTTCAGCCTCGTGGCCATCACAAACAAACACAGGTCATGGCTGAGGGTTTCCTCCTCATTAGCCTATCACCCGCAGATCCTCAGAGGCTCTGAGTTTTTGCCGCCATAATTCAAACTGGGACTGAAGTAAGGATAGAGTTTCTCAGTGAAATTCTGGGTGAAAGTGTGGAGATGAGACATGTTATCGGCGTTGTAAAATGTCACCTCTCCCCTCTCATAGTCCAGGAACACTCCCACCTTCCCGGGTCTGTCCCTCAGGGACAGGAGAGTGGAGGGAGAGGTCAGAGCTTTATATTCATCCCCGTTTCTCAGTGTCACAGCCCAGAATCCGTTCCCTGGTGACAGTGCGATCACTCCTTTCCTGTTGACAGACTCTCGGGCCAATCCCACATCCCACTCAGTCTTGTTGGCCACCTGCACCTCCCAGTAATGTCTCCCTGATGTGAAGCCCTCAGACCCCAGGACACAGGGACAGGTATCAAACCTCTTTGGGGAGTCCGGGAGCTGCTGCCGTGTGTCTCCGTGTCTCACTCTGGTCAGGTCCTCAGACAGGATGAGCTTGGGATGGGCTGTGTCAGGATCCAGAGTCAGAGAGGGCGGAGCTGAGAGAGAGAAACAACACAACGTGGAGTGAGGGGACGTCTGGAGCTCAGACCGTGTGTGAAGACAACTAAAGCTAGGGACACAATCCAGCTCAGAGGGTCACAGTCGGTGTGACGGTGCGTGTGAGTGTGTGCGTGAGGGTTCTTGTTTGGGTGTGTGTTGGGGATGGTGTGTGAGCGGTTTTATGAAGGTGTATGTGAGAGGCTGTGTGAGGGAATGTGTGAGTTTCTGTGCGAGGGTGTGTGTGAGTGGATGTGTGTGCGAATAATTGTGAGGGTGTGTGTGAGTGGATGAGTAAGGGTGTGCGTGTCAGCGGGGTGTTTGAGGGTTTTGTGAGGTGTGTGTTTGAGGTGTGCGTGTGTGCGACGGTGTGGTTGTGAGGATGTGTGAGTGGGTGTGTGTGATCGGTTGTGTGTGAATGTTTGTGTGAGAGTTGTGTATGAGGGTGTGTGTGAGTGTATGTGTGAGAGAATGTGTCTGAACTGTGTGAGGGGATGTGTGACGGAATATGTGAGGACGTGTGTGAGTGTTTGTGTGAGGATATGTGAGGGTTGTGTATGGAGAGTGTGTGTGACTGTGTGTGAGTGTGTGTGCGAAGGGGTTTTTGAGGGTCTTTGAGGTGGGTGTGAGGGGTTTGTGTGAGGGTCTGTTTAAGTGTTTGTGAGGTTGTGTGTGTGTGTGTGAGTGTTTGTGAGGGTCTGTGCGTGATGTGTGTGAGTGTTAGTGTGTGAATGGTTACGTGAAGGCGTGTGGGAGGGTTTTTGTGATGGTTTGTGTGAGGATCCTCAGGGGGTATGTCGTGAGTGTGGGAGTGCGTGGAGTGTTTGAGGTAGTGTCCGCGTGAGTGTTTGAGGTCCCTAACCCCTAACCCTAACCCTAAGCCTAACCCAACCCTAACCCTAACCCAACCAAACCTAACCTTAACTTAAACCGTAACACAAACCCTAAACCCTAACCCAAAATCCTAACCCTAACTTTAAACGCTGAGCCTAAATCCT